CCAAAAAAAAAAAAAAAAAAGTCCTAGGCTACATTAGCAGAAATAATAGTGTAAAGATCAAAAGAAATCATTCTTCCTCTCTATTCCACTTGGACCACTAGACTATTGTGTCCGGTTGTGGACCCTACATTTTAGGAAAACATGAATAAATTGGAGCAGTTCCAAGGAAGAACAACCAGGATGATAAGAGCCATGGAAGGAAAATCATCATCATCATCATCATCATCATCATCATCATCATCATCATCATCATCATCATCATTATTGGCTGCCCAGCTCCAGTGGACTCTGGGCAGTGAGGAACAGTTGGAGGCTTGGAAAAGAGAAAAGATTGTGGAGACATGATACCTAGACTAGATAATCTTCAAGATATCTAACCCCTACATTTTATGACTGAAAATGTTGTAAAAACTCTAACAGCTCTAATCTATCAGCTTTTGAGGTAGTCTGTAACCTGTTCCCATTGGCTCAAGTCCTACAATCTAGACTACAAAGAATAATTTTATTCCATCATCTATGTGGTAGTTCTATAGAAATTATTGCTTCTTAATCTTACTTTCCTTAGTTCTTACAACTCTCAAAACTTGCTCTTCATAATCTTCATCATTTTTTTGCCCTCCTCTTAAGATTATACATAGGGGATACAGATTCTTCAGGGGTACCTACTCCTATATGGTGATCTCCAAATATATTTGAACTACATCTTCTTTTTTATTAGAAATTCTGGGAGTTGTATACCCAGTAAAACTGATAGGAAACCAGGGCAGGAATACCTGTAACTATAACATCATGGAAACCTGATAGGACTGGTTTCTGATTCCCTATGAACTCCTTGTTGTCTCCTCAAATATGTTTATGTATACTTTCACATTTTGAAGGGATTCACATCATTTCATTTAAAAATGAAATGTAAAAGTTCTAAAGTTATTTTTACCTGCATCATCAACTAATGTCTCAGTGTAACCCAAAAATGTAAGAGGGCCAAGAAAGAGTGTGATGATTTTAATCAGACAAAAATATAGCACATAGCTAGCTTAAAGGCATATTTATGTAGGTCTAGCAGCCAGCATCTCCATCAGTTATATCACTAGGCAATAAGAAGGTGAATTTTCAATTTGCAGGTCTTATGTGGGCTATGGAATCTCATCAGATCCTCTCTTATATAGTGTGAAGATAGAGCTGCACCTGCATTGCTCAGTACTGCCAGCATGTGCTCACCTGGCAGGAGACAATTTTCTTTATGGGAAAAATGTGTAAATTGCATTTGAAAAGTTTTTAATTAAAGCCGGCTTTCTGGGACCCTTATGTTGGATGACCAGCTTGGTAGGTCTTGTGAGAGAAAGGAGATCCAGAAAATCAGGGAACATGAAACTGGTCCCATATGTGGTCAAACTAGGGGAAAGATCTACACTTCAATATAATCATGCTAAAACTCTTTTTTCAAAACACATGAATTTTGAAGAATTTTACAGTTGTGGAAACCTTATATGGACTTTTTGCTGAAAGAAGAGAAGAATGAATCGATGAACTTGGGATTTGAGAATTAAAAATGAACAAAGAGGTTGGAGAAAAGTTTAAGATGATAATTACTCGATAGAAAGAAGGGGGGAAGGCACAATTGTATGTTTTTCTTTTTCAATTTCTTTCTTGTATCTCTACTTCTTATTTTCTATCTTTGTTCTTGTTGGTTTTGCATATTTTACTATTTAAAAAATGATATGTATATCAATTTTACAGTTGCATGCTTCATTCAGATTACTTCTGAATGTTTCTGTGGTGGTGAGCCTTGCCAAGGATCTTCATTTGGAAATCTATTTTAAGTGGACTGCTGGCATTCCCATTGTTTCTCTGATAGGCACCTGTGACCTTTGTTGCAAACATACTTCAGAAAGGCTCTGTTCTCTAGCTGCCTTACCTCTGAATCCCTCTGAGGAACAAAATAGACGTGATGCTAAGTGAATCATTAGAAACTAAACCACTGTTTGCTTTAGTCAATAAGTATGAAGGTTATTTTCAATGGGACAGCGTACATATGGAGGGCAGGTTTAACTGTAATCCCAATGGCAATTTCTCTACAATATGCTACTGTTAGTGTTGAGCTAAAATAAATGAAAATAAGCAAAACTCCCTGGCACAAACAAGAGCTTTTTTTTTTTTTTTTTGCAAAGGAGAACATCACAGTGCATGTTTGCATGGAGGAGCGGCTAGGGATGGAAAGTTTCAATAATTTTCCCTTGGATTTATCCCTGATGAGATGATACTCATGAGATGATACTTAAGAATGAGTTCCGTTGCCAAGGTCTGACCTTAAGTTGAATTTGTATGTAAGCTGGAACAGTATTATTATATAATACTATATAAGTAGTATTGTGTAATTTACTCAAACCATTGTGTATTTAACTTGAATTTTGCTACAGTAGGCTCCATTTTAACTATGGGTTATCCATAAACCAGGCGTTCTTAATCCAGGGACTACCTGTACATTTATTTTAAAACCCTGATCTAGTTTCAGTAATGTAGTTAGTGCCATATGAAATTTGATCCTTAGCCAGAATTTCCCAGAGAATTAGCAATTTCATCCTCAAATAATATCACAGAATTACTCTTTCTAGATGGCTAAATGCTTACACCATGCCCTATCCCTTCTCCCCAATGTGCTACTAATCGACATGCAGAGATGTTTTTATTGTAAGGGGAACTATTCAAATATGGATCTGGTCCCTCACTTTAACATGCTATACCCTTAAGCCTTTTTTTTTTTAAGGTTTGTTATATTTTAAGATACAGAAAAAGAAATAAAACATTGGAAAAAGAAAAACAACATGATATAATAAGTATAAAAGATTACATGTAAAGAAATGTACTCAGCCTGACTTTTTCTGTAGTCATTTATCTGAAAACACAACATTTGGAACAGGGAGAAAGAAGTTGCATGGCAGTGCAGACTTCAATCTTAAACCCTCTAAATAATTTGAAAAGGATTTATCCTGTGATTAAAGATAATCTACCAATCTGGCAAACAGAGCTTAGGCTGTTTATGAAAATTCCAGGATAGATTTTGATTAAAGTATGCATTCCTTTTTAATTGTGTTCTATCCTTAATCAGGCTTCTGGATAAGTTAAAAAATTAGATGAAAGTTTACCTGTTTCTGAAGAAATATTCACCTCAACACTGAGGTCAGGGATGGGTGCCCCTTGGAAAGATGCCACACACAGGTATGTACCATAGTCAGTGAAACGAAGATCAATTATCTCCAGGCTGCTTGTCACTGGGGGGAGTTCTGGGTCATTCTTGATGACAACTACTCGATCTGAGAATTTGGCCAGCTTCCCATTCTTGTACCAGAAGTAGAAAACTTTTTCTTGTGGGACAGCATCCACATGGCATGAGAGCTTCAGGTCCTGCCCTAGCTGGATGGTTTCACTCTCTTTGATGACATCAGGAGTGATCTGGAATGTTGCATTCTTCATGGCTGGAGGAAACACAAAGGCCAAACTGGTCAATATATCAATGCCTTATCTTCAAATGGTCAAAATACGTCATATCATATTGTGTCATGTCATGTCATGTCCTGATTGAAGTGGCACAGAAATCTGAGTAACTACATAAAACAATAAATAAACCATATTATTTAAATCCATTTAACATTCTGTTTAATAGCATCTCCTCTTCTTAGGCAGAAATAACTCTGGAAGGTTATTTCCACTGAGTCCATGATGCAGATGGAAGAGAATATCCTTCCCTGTCTGCTATGATTTCATTCTTGATAGGAGAGGGATACAAACTTGATTTTTGAACAGGCTACATTACATTTATATGCAAATTTAATGTACTAATTTGACCATCAATAAATGGAATGTGGCAAGAAGAGCAGGTGCTTCGACAGAAGTAACTAGAGAGATCAGGAGAAAAACAGGAGAAAGGGAAGAGTTTCAAGGAATGTGGGAAAACATTTGTTTGCATCCATCTCCTTTCAAAATCCCTCTCCTATCAATGCAACTCAGTGTAAAGTAGTATGTATGTATGTGTGTGTACACATGTATTTGTTGAAAACAAACCTGAAAATTAAGAGGACTGAAGGAAAGGAAGCCATGCAATATAAAATCAAGCTTGGTTAACACTCTCTCTGTCTTAAATTTATTCCAGTCTTTAAAAGGGACAAAGTGAGCTGGAAATTCAGGCTCCATCCCCAGTTAGATTAATAGAAAGACGTACATCGCACCAATAGGTTCACTGTCTTCTTGGCTGGATTCCCCACATTGTTGATGGCTGTACAGTTGTAATAACCTGAATCTTCTGTTTGGATGCCCCAGATGGTAAGATTGCCCCCTTGAATCAGGCTGTTCAGAGGCATAGGACCGGGTGAGTGAGACCAGACTACCTGAGGCAAAGGATCCCCGCCTGTTAGCGTGCAGTGTATGGTAACATTATCCCCTGGATTTACCACTAAAGTCTCATTCACAGATAATTTTAGAGCTGGTGGAGCTATAAGAGAGAGAGAAAAATTTTTTTAAAAAAGAGGTAAAGATTCATTTCTAGGAAGTATGAATTAGCATAATTTGCAATATATACAAAAGAAAGCCTGATGAACTTGCAAAGAAAAAAAACACATATTGTGCTTGTAACCCAGTCAAATGGTAACTCTTAAATGTCTGACACTAGTCAGTTTCAAAACGTACAGATGAAAATTGGAGGCATACATCAGCACTGTGCTCAAAAAGATGCATTTATGCTTTCTTGATCGGCTTGCCAAATTATATTGGGAAAGAAGAGAATGTCTCCCTCTCAAGTCCCTCCTTTGCCAATGTTCTGCTACCGCAGGAATGGGGAACCCATGGCCTGTCAGATATAACTTCTATCAATGTAATTTCCATCAGTCCCAACCAATTATTTGATTTTTCCCATTGCACAACTGAATTGTCCCTTTATAGACTTCAGATCCCTCTAATATGGATCAGTGTTAAATTATTGCTGGGATATAGACCAATAATTTACGGTCAGTTTTTCTTAAATATCTGACAGTGCCACCACTGTGAGAATGTAGTGTTAGAGCTTAGTGTTCCATAATCTGGTGCCTTAAAGGCTACAATACCTATCATCCTCCATCAGCGAGGCTATTTACACAACATCAGGTTGGGGCCCCCAAAAAAGCTTATTCTATTTTTCTCCAAAGATATGAGATTCATTCAGACTTGATGCAATTCCATGCTCTGGAATTATAAATATGTGCATCTTCAAAATGTGGCACAATGAAAGATGAGTAGCTCCCAATCACAGTTTGTGACAAAACTATCCTTTCCAAATTTCCTGCACCTCATGTGATTCCTTGAAGCAGACTTTTGATAGGAAAAAGTCTTTCTTGAGGATTTAATTCCCAGTAGTTCACATTACAGCAATGAAAGAACAGAACTCCTTTAGCTTGTTAATATCTTCCCCCACCCCACCCCGTGCCCTGCCTCCTCCTCCTAGCAATTACTGCTAACCTCTCAGAGCTATTTCTTTAACTACCATACATATCAAATACTTGGCTCTAACCTCATTCACAAATCCTTGAGCCTCCCCTTTATGTAAGGAGTCATCTTATGAATGGGCAGCTCCTCTGCTTTAAAATGCTTAACCTCAACCCTTCTGATTAATTCCTTTTCTTCAACATCCCCAGACACAGATCGAAAAGGCTTTTCTCTGTGTTTTTTGTTTAATCTCTCAAAGGCCCTTTAAAGCTCCTTCTCGGGGCCATCAGAGACTTCACACAGAGCTCAGAAAGTAACAGTCAACGGTACAAAGGCTGAGAGCATGTTTTAAGTAACAGCTGTAATAATGCAAAATAAGGCATCGTTACATATTCATAAAGCTTGATTTAATGACATCATTATATCTGCCATCTCTTTTCTCTGGACCCTGCATTAATGACCTGTACCGGCTTTGCCCTGAATTTCTAATTCAGGCAAACAAAAAACAGGAAGGCTGCTCTCTTACAGGGGCAATAATATACATATTTCACAACCATTCTGATTTTATTACACATCCAGACTTATACTTGGATGCTTTAAAAATTAATGTTCCTTGTCTTACTGCCCAAATATATAGACTGGCATAAGCAAAACACTGGTCAATTATGTCCAATCTGTTGGGAGAGCCAATGTGATGAAGTAGCTACAGTAAAGGCCCTGGATTACAGGCAGGGAGACTGTGAATTCTAGCCCTGCCATAGACATGAAAGCCAGCTGAGTGATTTTGGGTCTCTCTCTCTCTCCCTCTCCCCCCCTCTCTCTCTCTCCCTCTCCCTCCCTCCCTCTCTCTCTCTCTCTCTCTCAGCCCTAGGGAGAAGATACTGGCCAACCTATTCTGAAAATGTTGCCAAGAAAACTGCATGTGCCTGTTCCTGCCATCACCAGGAGACAGGGTTGACTCAATGGACCATAACAACAACAACAGTAACAAGTGGTGACTGGAGTTTTGTCTTCAGGAAAGGATAGTCAAACTGGATGGCAACATGAGCTGAATCTAATATTCAGGCAAAGAAATTTCAGCTGAACTTCCAAGCCCCAGGCAAACTGAGGGGGATGTGTGGATGAAATAAACATGCATTTATGGTCAATGGAGCACCTCTTCACCATTACTTCTGCATTTCAGTGAGTGGGAAATGGATGACCATCAGTCGCCAGGAGATCATTTGCCAATATGCTCCCCCTGATTTCCCTATCTTACAATATGCTCACAGAATGGGAGGGGGCATTTTGCTGAGCCCCAACTAGGGCCTAATCTAGGACTGGAATATGTAGTGAAACTGAGAGCAGAAGAATCTGAATTCCAAAATGTTACAACATGACTGGGCTTTTATTACTTATGCCTGGCCTCGCCAATTCAAATACTTCATACTGTCTTCCAGTTAAAGAGGCTGATGCTGTAATCTTCCTTTCTGGGTCTCAGGAGGACTGTAAGTCTTAAAGAAAGTAAATCCCAAGTGACAGCATTTTTTATGAGGATTTGTAAAAGTTGGCTCAACAGTATTCAATCATGCTGCTGAAGCTCAAAACAGGAACATCATTTTGCATTGTGTAAACACAAGTATTATGTCAGTGTTAGAAGACATTATAGTACCACTCTGTACAGCTTGGAAAACACCTAATATTGAATATTGGGCTATTATTTCACTTATTGTTCCAGTAGAATTTGGAAGATGATGCAAATTTATAGAAGTTGCTTCATATCACATTCCTAATCAGCATCACACAGTTTAAAAAGGACTTCTAAAAATGTGGATAAACGAAAAAACTACAAAGATGCTAAAAATACTTTTTTTTCAGAATAATCTGAAGATGCTGGATCTTCTTTGCCTAAGTGAAAAAAAGTTGATTACAGAGGTCTTTATCACCCCTGAAATTATGGTGGGGTTTTGATATGCACAGTAAATGGTACTGTACATTTGAAATTTTGCCTATATAATGATTTCCATGCTTCAGTTTTTAAAGTCCAGAAGTATTTGGGGTCAGATTACATAAAGAATCATCTACTCCCACATATCCTTACCACACTGTTTGAGCTGGGTGGCCTTATAAATCTTGATAATAAATAATACACAAATAATACACAAATAAGTAAACTCAAATTTCATCTTTGGAGAAGCTTCTCTAGGGGTCTTCACCAAATTATACTGTATATGATAGAAGTTTAGTAGGAACAAGACTTACTAGTTGTAGCATTCTAGTTATGAAGCATCTTCCCCTGAGACCTCTTGATACCTACAGTCTAGTTTTCAAGAACAAGACTTTTAATTTCACTTTTAAATCTAAAGTTGCTCAACCTAGCATGTTTTAAGTTTTAAGATGCATGAGAACTGCACTCCACTTTTCAGGTCTGTCCTCCAGATTTTTGGCTTTTTTTAGGTATTATTTTTTGACTGCATTTTTTAAATTGGAAAACACCAAGAGAATCCTTTTACAAGTGATGGCGTACAAACGTGGTCAATCAAATGGAACATTTAGAGGGTGAACACTGGATTATTCTATCCATCAAGAATGCGTGATATTTGGACTAAGGTACAGTATCACAAAGTGGACGTCGTATTGTTTTATCGGTCCTCAGCATCTTGAAAAATGTGACGTGTTATTTCTCCTGCTTTTAATGGAAAGTTTCATTTCTTGATTTCCCATTTTAAATAAAATAACCACATGGCTGAAGAATGAAGAACAATGTGGAATAGGATGTGGTTTATGACTTAAAGTGAAAGGTGTTGATTTTTGACCTGAAGAAATTCAAATATTGCATTTTTCTTATTCTAATGGGCCTTGCTCTGGACAGAGAAGTTTCTGAAGCTCTGGTTTAGACAAACATTCAAAATTACATATTTTATTTTATGTCAGTTTCCCAACCTTGTGTAGCAACATTTTATTTTCCATAATGTCAGAAAATGTGACCTGATGGGACTTGGTATTGCCTTGGGGCAGCTTGTTCGTATGTATAACTGGGCCGAAAGGAATCTGTAAATCGGCCGCCTGCGCCATGCAAAAGTGCTGGCAGCACCTCCCTTGGCTGCTGAGTTCTGGCTAGATAGCACAAAACCCAAATTCCGCTGTGGGCCCACCTCTGATCACATCCTACTGCAGTTAGCAGACGGAGGCTAACAATATGCAGCCATTCTTATGCAGGAGATGAATCTAATTTATTTGCAACCTGTGGCAATTTCTTTTGTTCTCCTCTCTCCCCTTCTCTTAAACAACAACAACAACTCACACACACCTTGCTGGCAAAGTGAGTTGAGGAAGAAAGGGAGGAGGGACCCAAGAAAAACAAAAAGTTGCTTTCAATTCTCTTTGAAGTCCAATTTGCTGCAGTATAACTGCAGGAGAGTTCTCCATTTATGCAGCTTAACTGTGTTGAAATCAAGGGAGAGAAAAAAATCGCTTACTTGCCCTGCCCCTGCCCTTTCTGGGAGTTGCCAAATTGATCCTTTGGACCTCCTAATTGTAAAACCATTAATAATAGAATAGTAAGGAAGAAGTGGGCAAAAACACAATGGTCTCTCGGGTTCACATGCCATGCGGAATCTGAAAAATAGCAGAGGGTGATACTTCCTTCCACCCAATCTGAGGTTATGGTTTGGGATATGATTCTAGGCTTTGATGCATTAAAGTGCAGAACAAGGGGAACGCTGTTATTCTACCTGAATTTAACTGGCACAAAAAGATTTCTAATGAGGCATTCAGTCTGAGTTGGAAAGGAGTTCATCTATTCTTTCACCTCAAAGCAGAATGACCAGCAATAATAGCATTCGTTCAGACTACATTTACTATTCTCAGAAAATAGTTGGAGAGTCAATGCAGTATAGAGTTTAGTGCATTGGATTAGGATCAGGGAACCCATTTTTAAGTCACCTTTAGTCATGGGAGGAGACAGTGTGGGTTGGGTCAGGGAAGTGTGGCTGTGGTGCCAGATTTTTCTGCTTTTGGGTTTTATTGTTTCTTGCTTTTATTGTGTGTATATTTTTTTTTTATTCTTGGTTGTAAACCACCCAGAGTTTGGTTTAAGGTGGGTGGCTATACAAATGTTTTAAATAAATAAATAAATATAGATAGATTGATTGATTTTGGGCCAGTTACTATCTCTCAGCCCAAATTATCTCACAGGGTTATTGTTGTGGGGAACAAATGAAGGATTTATTTGCTTTCCCTCTGACATTCTTAACCTGTTTGCTATTTATTAAGGACCCTCTTGGCAAGAAAATTCTACAGCAAACATGGTAAATGTGGCCTTCTGTTGTATTCAGTGGAACCAGTGTTACTATCCATGTTTTGAATAGAATGTTTTTTCGATATACCGGCATTGGACTTTCTACGTCTCTGCCTTGTTAACTAAAGTTCAATTTCTTATCCAGGATTGTTCCTAAAGCCTACTGCTAGCAATCCTAAAACCTGGCACTAACCCCTTATTCCCCAAAAGCCATATGTCACTGGAAGAACACATGCTCTGCATGTAAAAGGCTCTTGATTTCATCCTACACATTGCGTGCTACATTTCAAAATGCATACAGAGAGAGTGGAAATTCAGCATAGTCTGAAGGCTGGCTCTTAGGTGGAGTTAAGTCAGTGAGCTTTACTATGAACATTGCATTGGTGTTAGAATAATGATAAGGGGTAGGGGACCTTTGGTTTTTCAGGTGTTGTTGAACTGCAACTCTCAACATCCATCACAATTGACAGTGCTGGCTAGAATTGCTGGGAGTTGCAGTTCAACATCTGGAACATCTAGTTTATATCAAGCAGGCTCCCTTTACCCTCTCCTTCTGAACAAAAGAATGTCTACCCCTGAGATGGCATTGGCTACTCTATCATCTTCTTAGCATACTGGCTTCAAAGACTGCAGACTACAAAGCTAGAAAAGCCTTCTGTTGAGGGTCACACTGATACACTTCAAAAAATGTATTTAAAATGAATATTTTGAGGAGATAAATTGTATGGTATCTCAAGGGAAAGTATATTTGAAAATAAAATCTAAAAGCTGTGATTTTTAAAACATCACAGATTAATGAGGAAGCAAGTCAGAACACAAAATGACACAGATCAGAAACTGAGGTGGGTATTGAGGGATCTAAAGCTAGAGCTTCTGTTATAAGATTTTATCCTTAAAACTTCATTTAAAGAAAAAAAAAAGGCTCCATAAGTGCAAACATAGGGAAATACAAAGTTAGAATTAGTCATCCATGTATCGTTTTTATAGGGGAAGGGTGGACAATTAATAGCTTGTGGACTACACAGGGATCTCCTAGCATTTATTTATTTATCCATATTACATGGACACCCATCTCAACAACTGACTCTGGGCAGTGAACAAAATTAAAATAGAATAAAAACAATAACAAACATAAAAGTTAAAAATACAGGCAGCCAAGAAACAACAACCCAAATCACAAACATAACCAAGAAGTGGGTACCTTAACTTAACACTGTAACCCCCCAAAACATCTCCACAGTGTACTACTAAAATTTGGCAATCCTCCCCCTCCCAAATTTGGGAGGCTTTCCCCCCAAAAGAGCTTGATCCTACTCCCCATTGCTGTCACATGATTGCATAAACTCAGCAATTTGAATTGGACGAAGCAGTGGTGGCTGTGACCATACCCTCCACCTCCCTCCAAATCATCTTCACCTACTATAGAAAGATCCCTAAGGAATCCAAGGGCCCTCCTGGTCAAACATCCCTCCCCTTCTTTTGCAAGCGTTAATCTCTTGAAAGGCTTCCCCTCTTGATCTGAATGGGTGGGAGAGAGAGCCATTTCCTAATCCCATTATTATTGGGCTTGTCTGTCTTACCAGTTGTGTTGGTAAGCTCGAAGGTAACCGTCTTATCAGGAATGCCGCACACATTTCTGACAGATACCTGGCATGTATAACTGGCATAGTCATGAGGTCGTAGATTTTTCAGTTTCAGAACTTTGGTTTCTCCCTAGAGTGTTTGAAAAGAAACAGATAAGAGACGTCAAGTGAACTGTTTGTGTCTACTAGTCTGCGAAGTGAACTGGAAAACCTCACATATCATTCCAGTGCTGCCAAATTCCTTTCAAGTAACTGTATCAGGCTTACTTGCCTCAGTTTACATGTACCATTGGGAGTGGGGGGAGGGAATGGACTAAAAGTACAGTACATATCAGTCATAACTCTGTGTTAGTTAAAGGCAAAGGCATTCTCTATGAATAAACACAAACTCAGATTCTTTTGGACATTAGCATAAAATCACAGAATTGTAAAAGAATCAAATGGATAATCATCTACAGCACTGGGTGGCAGCCATGAACACCAGAATTTGATTTAGTCTGGGGATAAAACAAAACAAAACAAATTTCCAGGAAATTTTGCATCCAACCACTTGTTCTTGGAATGCAAGAAGAAGGGCAGCTCTGTTCGTCATGTTTCACCTCTGGCCTTGTGGAATTGTCTCCCCTTTAGGAGACTGAATTATCTACCCAACAAGATCAGTAGACAAATCAGTAGAGCCAGATCAATACCCAGGAAGGACCTATTAGAAAACAGGCCATAGAAACAGAACAAGAGCACACCAATGGGTTGTCACCTACAGCTCATAGCTCAAACTACTCAAACACATTATTAATAAGCTATGGCCCAAACTGGACAACGATACTGCACTTTCTTAGGCACTGGGTGACAGGCCTATACTTGCATACAGACAACTACTCAACCTGAAGCAGATTATCATAAACAACAATGGTGCTTACATAGGAACCACACCCTGCAACAAACCCAGATGTCTAGTCTGCCCTCACATCTACACCAATAGTACCATCACAGGCCCCAACAAGTACACACACAAGATTAAAGGCATCTTCACATGCTCTTCCTCTAATGTGATATAAGCCATCACATGTCAGCAGTGTCCCTCTGGATTCTATGTAGGACAAATGGGACATACTTTACACAAAAGAATTAATGGACACAAGTTTGACATTGAGACTCAACACAAGGACAAAGTGGTAACACCATTTCAACCTGTCAGGACACTTTATGGCAGGCCTCAATGTCTGTTTTGGAAAAATTGGACTTTAACAGCATCCTTGAGTGAGAGATTGCAGATCTCATATATATTAAAAGGTTTCAGGCAATCTGAGAAGGTCTCAGCAAACACTCTTTTGAACACATTATAATTGTTAATTTATAACATCTTTCGCAACCTGCATTTGCTGAGGCAACCTGTCTTACCCTACCTTTCTTCCCCCCACCTCAACCCAATTTAAATCCTACATTTTTCTAGCCACTCTATGGATTTGATGAAGTGAGCTACAGTTCACGTAAACTTATGCCTTTTAATAAAATGTGTTAGAAAAGGTGCTACCAGACTCCTGATTTTTTTCCGTTGTCCTCAGGGTTCCTAAAAACTATCTTTTGTTGTAAGTTGAAAAATCAAGTGGGTTGAGAAATCAAGTTGATAGGCCAATAGTAACCATCATTTTTTGAAAGAGAGTTCTTGTTTTCTATTCCGGTCAAAGTCCTTTTTGGGGGGGGGGGGGGCATGCTTTCTAAATTGATGGTAATTCTGAAACTGCCCTGGGAATTCCTTTAGAGTCCTCATATGAATTCCATTTGGCTCTCTTTGAGCTTTCTTTTACACATTCCTTTGCTTAGTGCAAATTCTGATTTCTTCCTTGAAAGACTGAATGAAGATCCTTTGACATATTTTCTGTGAGAAGTAAGCCAAGAGCCTGGTGTTCTCAGGCCAGATTTGGAAATTATGCAAACCATTATGTAATTTATGTAAACACTCAACAGTTGCTCAGCTTCTTGGCCACCAAGTGCCACACAAAGGGTCTATTAATTTTCGGGAAGGGCAGGAAGAAAAAATTATGGATCTGAACCATCATGTGTATAAGAGGCTCTTACAGCCAACTGTTCTGTTTCGTTTCATTCTTGCTTCCAATAAAGATTCTTATTTAGCTGAATTGTTTCTGTGAGACTTTTGCCAAATCCAAGCCAGGAAATTAATTCAGCTTTATATAGGTCTGTGATTTACTGTCAAGTCCTGGTCAGGAAAGTCTGTGGGGTCCTTGGGGTTCTCTGAGCTTGGCTGTTTTCTTGCAAATGTTTCATTACCTGGCTAGGTAACATCTTCAGCACTAGAATGGAATGGGGGTTGCTCTTTTGTTAATATATTGGGGAAGCCCTTCCAGGTTTTGGTGGGGTGGGGG